TTGCCATTGCCTTCTTCCTACGGCTGAGAGAGAGTGACTGGCCCAAGGTCACCCAGCTGGCTTTGTGCCTAGGCAGGACTAGAACTCACAGCCTCCCGGTTTCTAGCCTGGTGCCTTAACCACTACACCAAACTGACTCTCTAAAGCAATATATAAATAAAGGTAAATTTAGTGATAGTGTGCAGTATAGGCAGAATCCTGGGTTAACTCTGTTCTACCTTTTCCATTCCTATTGCTTTTAGGTGAGTGCTAAGTATTTGAGGACCAATGAAGAATTATAATAAACACCTGAATAATACATTACCTAAGTGATTCAAGACTGGCCCTACTTTGGGAGCCATTTTATTCTCAGTATTTGATGAAACTTGTAGAGTTGACAGATTTAAGGTTTTCCTGAGAATGGATGTCTCTGTGACAGGCCTTGGAACATTATGATCAGCAGTTAAGAAATTTGGGTAGTTCTGCTGCCATTTAGCATTCTGCTGTATTTTCCTAAATCTTTGAGGCTCTGACAGTTGACCACTTCCTTCCTCCAAAAATGTTAGGGACATTGGCAATGTAGCTGGAGTCCACTCCTCAGTCTGCTGTGGAAGTATAGGGATACTTATGCTAGGAGTAAAAGCAGGTTCAGTCCTACTCACAGTCTGCTTATTCTGGTGGCTTATCATTGGCCCAGGAATCAATGACATTTCAGCGACAAATTCATTCAGAGGAGATTGTGTATTCGATATAAATCTAACCAGGAGTGTACGCAATTCTGACTTGGACACTAAATTTAAGATTTTGTCTGTAAAGGAGGAGAATATATGTTTTATTATTTTTCCAGCTGTTGTACCAGATAAGACCTCTTCTTTACTTTCCTTGATAGGAGACATCACAGCAGCTGGGGAAAGATATTCCAAGTCCATGCCCTGGTTACCATATACAATGGTTGCTTTTGGGAGAGTCAAACTGGAGGACAAAGTTGTAAGTTGGTAAACATCTTCCTGTTTGGAAGTGCTATGCCCATGCTGGCCACAAGAACTCCTTGAAGATGTCTCATGTCTAACTGTACTGATCTGTAATCTGATGGAAGTAGACATTTCATTAATTATGGAGAAAGCGGATATGATCTCTGTAGCTACTGAAGTATTAACCACAAGTCTTTGGGGTTGGTTAGCCTCTAGCACTGTAGCAGTTGGAGAAATGGTCTGTAGTTCTGTTGTTCCTGTTCTACAGTAGGAACACATCCTTTCTGAAGGATTCAGCCCTAACTCTCCAACAGCAAATGAAGAGTCTGGTGCAGTTATTGGAAAGAAACTGGGGTCATGTACAGAAAAGATAGAATCCTGGAACATAACAGCTAGAGAAAGAGTTTGGTCTGGTCCAATGGTTGTAACTGGGTAAGTGAGCATCATTGATGGCAAGAGGGCATCTTCTAGACTTGGAGTAGCAAGCAGAAGAGCTGCTGCTGTTG